AAGTTATGATCCAAAAAAATTATGCATTATAATTTACATAATGTCCTTTCATACATACATACATACCAATCTCTTAGCATCCTTCACTCTCTGTTTAGCTGCTTCAGTTGTAAACATACTATCATATATTGTTGCAACATGATCTACCATATCCAACACCAACATATACCAATGTGAATTATGGTAGTTTATTGTGATCATGATCTGCAACAAATTTCACACCCAATTTGACAAAATTCAACATTCTATATCCGAAAACATCATTTGTAATTGGTATGGTGTCTTACCTTCTCACAGTCGGTGAATTTCACATAGTTATTCAATATGGGACCCCAGAAGGTAGCAATACTCTCAACACTTTCTTTGTTGTTGGCATCCAACGCCTGCTGCTGCAATTACGCAACAAACATTATTAATTTACCGCCTATAACACTACTTATCTCCATTTATTAATTTAACTCACCGCTAAGTGGTATGGAAGGTAGCCAATCCTCCGGAGTGACTTCTGAGAATCGTAGCATACTGTCCAGGTGAGCAAATCAATAACCTAACAAAATTAATTACACAATCAGAACATATTCAATAAGTTTTAACATTTTCTACTTTCTACTTACCACACCGCCAACCCATTCCGTAGGCTTCAACGTTGCAACGTCGTATACACTAGCGAATTTATTTCCCATTGAGATTACAGAATATCTGTATGAATAATTAGGATTAATATATTGTCATGAAATATTTAAATATAACTCACAAAGCAATATATTTCACTTACTCCGATTCTAACTCACTATTCCATAAATAATCACAAATTGCAGCTTCGATGTCATCAATTCCGCTTGGAATATCCGCTTTTTCAACCTACAATTTTGCATACAAATTTTTGTCACAACAACATAATAAAAATCAAATTAAGTTTTCTTTTATTCAACTTACCTTCTGCTTCTTCTTCTAGGGTGCAGGACATTCCGAATCCAAATCTGCTGCTATAACACTCTCCGGTGTATAAATGACATCGACTTTCTTCCTCCTCATTTCTTCCATCTCTTCTTCTTCCTCCTCCCTCTTTTCTTCTTCATATTTTTTCAGTTCATCGTATTTTTTTTCTAGATAGCTCTTCATCTCTTTTATTTCACCATTCAATTGATCTCCTTCATCCAAGTATTTATCAACCACCCCCTTCACCCCCGTAAGTTCACTCCTCAATTCCACAACCTCCTTCACCACTCCCTCAAATTTTTCACCCGCCACCATCTTAATATCACCCCTTAACACCCCAACTTCTTTCACCACTTCACCCCTCAACACCTCTACTTCTTTCACCACTCCATCTATTTTTCCTTTCACTACCCCCTTATGCCTTTCAAGTGTATCTTCGACTCTCTCAAGTTTCTCTTCGACTCTATCAAGTTTCTCTTCGACTATTGATTGTCTTTGCATGATATCAAATTGGATTTTTTTGATATCAGCCAATTCAGACATCAAAATGTCGAAGTTACTATGTTTTCCCTCACCGTCGTCCCACTCACCGTCATCCCCCAATACAACCATCTCTCCTTTCTTCTCCTCTGCCTCCTCTACATCCTTGCCAATAACCTTCAAAATTAAATTACAATATTAAGACAATGATTATATTCTTAATATTATTTAATTACATTTATTACCCTTTCTTGCTTCTTCGCTCTATCCAACTTCAACTTCATCATCACTCTAACCACCTCTTCCTTCCCCCATGCACAGATGCGTGCCACTCCGGTTCTTTCATAAGCCGGCACTACCTCACAGCCCGACCAAAAATAGAACAGTGCAACCTGCATTTATAATAAAATTTATATTTTTATATAAAAACACAAAAAAGTTCTTCAACTCATTTACCTCTAAGATTGCTATGCACCCTTTGAGGTATCTTTGGCTGCCCTTTTTAAAGGTGATTATTGATTCAATCAATCTCGAATGGATATATTCATCCCAATTGAATTCACCCTTCAAGCCTTCATCGCAAATGAGCTTCATATGTTCCTTGTTCGTTGACGTATGACCCGTTGGACAAAGAAAGATACCGACAAGATATAATAGAACTCTGGCCTTCAGCTCATCCCCAACGTAAGATTCACTTTTTATTTCCTCTTCAATTTCAGAATATGTCACCTTCTGCTTCAAACCATATTTGGAGGCAAGTGCTTTCCAGTCCTTACTCTTACAAACTTCTACAACACTTTTGCCTTCATTTTCTACCACCAATACGGCTGCAGCACATGGGATCCCGAGAGGAAATGAAAAATCACCATACTTAGAAATACATTATTTGACATCAAATTGCGCCATCAAGGATCGACACAATTCCCTCCGAATAGGTCGATCCCTTACTCCTACCAACGATCCAAAACCTATTTCTCCCAGCACATTCAACTGACCATTCTCCTTAAGGTGTTTAATTAATGAATTCACCCTTTTAATGCTGCATCTTTTCGACACTTCCTACATTTTTTAACAATATATAATGTTATAGTTCTTATATATTTTGTATCAACGTATTTACAAGTTTAATGAATACCTTATTTTCATGTGCTTTCCTCTGTTCTTTGTATTCTTTACTATCATTCCTTGACTGTGTGATGTAAGGTTCCTTTTCAGCATCACTCATTGAATTCCATTTGGACCTCACATCTTTTGTCACCTAATATTAAACATAAACGTTTCTTAATCAATACATTAACACTAAATACTACTCAATGTCAATTTCATTTTACACACCGAACCGCTCTGTGTGCCATCTTCCTTCATCCTTTTGCATTCGGCCATACTGTCAACATTTAAAATTTGTAATCAATTTAAAGTTTATCAATACTTTAATCCAATTACCATTTCAACAATAATAACAAAAAGGAATTGATACTTACTAGAAGTACATATATCCACCCTTTGGTTGCTTTCGAGTCTCGGCCTCAATTTCAAAGTCATCTGCGCCACCAACAATTTTCCAACCCATTGACTCCATTTTTCCTTCATATATCAGTTTACGCAAATCAAATTATTTTGTTACATACACTTTATTCAATATACAAATATAAATAACTACTCTTATGGTAAAACGGTTTTCTTCAAAAGAATTTGAATGGCCACTACAAAATGTGTCGGCACATTTATACAACCTATAATATCATTTTCTACCTATAATATTTAATAAAAGTATCGACATTTATATTTTACCTTCAATATCACTTTCTACCTGCAATCGGTCCCAAATGCTTCTTTACTCCAAAACCCCAAACAACACATAAAAACTGTATTCGCGATTACTGTAATAATAAAAAACTAGGGTTTCGACAACATACTTTTCGATTCGACTACATCAACAAACAAACAAACATCGCTTTAGAAACGCCTTCTGAAATGCATCAACAATTACGCTTCGATTTCAAAAACTCGTCCGTTCTATCGATTTTCAGATGATATTTAGATATGGCCTTTATATTTTCATCGGATATGTTATTTATATTTAATCGATACAAATACAAAAGTGTCGATACTTTTATGTCAGGTGTCGATACTTTCGAAAGGATAATTACCTATTTCTTTGAAAGTGTCGATAATTTATTATACGTACTTACGAAAGTATCGACACTTTCAATATATCCGGTATCGTTTTACCGGTTTTATCATTTTTATATCGGTTTTATCATATTTTTACCTGTTATATCATTGTGGATCGATATATTTTTTTTAAAGTATCGACACATTATAGGCACTAAAACTGCTTCTCTTTTAAATTCACAAAGTGTCGATCCTTATATAAAGTATCGACACTTTCAATATATCCGGTAACGTTTTACCGGTTTTATCATTTTGATACCGGTTTTATCATATTTTTACCTGGTATATCGTTTTGGATCGATACATTTTTTAAAAGTATCGACACTTTATAGGATTTAAAACTGCTTCTCTTTTAAATTCACGAAGTGTCGATCCTTATATTAAAGTACCGACACTTTAAATGTATCCGGTAGCGCTTTACCGGTTTTATCATTTCAATACCGGTTTTGTCATAGTTTTACCTGTTATATCGTTTTGGATCGACACATTTTTAATTTGGATCAACACGAACCGACAAGTTAAGTTTGCCGGTTGCACAATTTTTTAATATTTCTTCATGACTTAGACCTACTACATTATTATTAGTCTACATTTCCGGTAGCGCTAAACCGAATTTATTAAATATCTTTTAATGTATCTGGTAACACCGTATATTAACCGTATATTAACCCGCCTTTCCTGAGACAATCCCTGATGTTTGAAATGCCAAAAGTCACGAACGTTTTTTTTTAATCACACAAATCACATGCCATTTTCCATGCACTAGTTTTCTATATTCCACCACAACACCCTAAACTTTTCGCTAAATTTAGCATACGATCAACAAGTCCAACCTCAGGACCTCACCGACTAAAATCAATGATAGATTTAAAAATTTAAAAGTAAAATTTAAAATTTTAATATTATTTAAAATTTTTAATATATATATATTTCTTTTAATCTTCTTAATACATTAAACTAAATATAACAACTTCTCTAAAATGATAAATATATATTTATTCTTCTTGGAGGTTATATATATGAAACTCAATTTTTTCCGATTAATTATCTATTTTATTGATTAGGTCTATGCTATAACTTGAATTTTCTTCAATTAATTAATTATTTTATTGATTGTACAACTCTGCTATCTTCGATCCTAAAACCACTCGCAAACTCTATGTCACACCCCAATTGGTAGGATTAGTTTTTTTTAGTTGAATATGAGGTTTAGAGGACTCTAGAATTCACGTGAATTCTGTCCATTGTTTAGTGATGTGAATTTGTTTATTATTATTATTTTATAATATGGAAAATAGAGACCACAAGTGGGGAGAGTTATTCTTTATTTTATGATTTCAGCAGAATAATGGTGGTGGTTTCATTAAAGTAAGAAGCTCATCTCAAAGCTCATTGCTTGAGCGAAAATGACGAACATGTATGAAGCAAAGTATCCGGAGGTGGATATGGCGATGATGATACAAGTGAAGAACATCGCCGACATGGGCGTCTACGTTTTGCTCCTTGAATACAACAACATCGAAGGCATGATCTTGTTCTCGGAGCTCTCCCGTCGTCGGATTCTTAGTGTCAACAGTCTAATCAAGTTCGGCCAAACCGAGCTAGTGATTGTCCTCCACGTCGATAAAGAAAAGGGTTACATCGATTTGAGTAAAAGAAGGGTTAGCGAGGAAGATTGGATATCCTCGAGCTCTATAATGAATGGAATAAAACTGAACACCAAAATACCCTTATGGTCTATACTAAGTAAATGTCTTAGATTAATTAAGGAATCCAAATAAGCATAGGTGTTGGACTACCTTTAGAAGTTATGGAATAACTTAAGTGAACCGATCAACCGTAATGATATGTCAGTACCTGAACGACATATGTATCAGTTGAATGTGTGTTCGTCTTCTCAAGTGTGGTTCGATGATAGTTTTGAAAGTACTCAGCTCAGCTCAACTCTAGATCGCATTCAATACTAAGAATTGGACGTTTGTTCGACAAATCAACCACGAAGACCAAATTGAATGGAACGGAAGTACAACATGCATCTAAAATTCAGGAACGTTTGAATTACTCTGTAAAATCCCGAAGTAACTGGAATGGACTTGAATGCTAAATGAACTAAGTAACCTCCAGGACTAAGGATTAAGTAAGTGATTTGGATGAGTCTGAAAACGTAAGTGAACATACATGATGTAATGTTCTTATGGATCTTGAACTACAAATCAAGCACGTCAGCATTTCATGATATAGTGAAAGCGTGAACATGAAATAAAGACATTGGAAGATTTATTCAGTGATGATTCCGAAGATTATATATGGACTAGAATTTGTGGTATTAGAGTGTAAATACCCTGTAGGGACAATGAATTGACCAGTGGATAAGCATTAATTCTGGGAGATATTCATCTGAAGTTGTTTGATAATGAAATCAATCGACATAGACTGTAAATGTCATAAATCTTCATTTCTTTCTTATCAACTCAAGTCTCATTCTGAATAATTGATAATTTTGTCAGTTATTGAACTCTTCCAATAATAATTCTAAATTTTGATATTCTATCGGTATACTGAAGATCCATATTTCTCTGCCTGCTAAGATTATCCAATACCTCTGAATAATATCTGTAAACTCTGGTGTGTTCCCTAATCACATGAATATTTTATATGATTTATGATTTGAATTCTGTTATGATACCTGACATGGATTCTGATATGATACTTGACCTGGACTATGATTTGATTTTTGATATATCTATTTACGGACGGAACATGTTTTATTGGGGGTATAGTTGGAGGAAGAATACTTCCAGGTTCCTCGGCTTTGTGCTGAGAGCCTTACTGTTCGTGACGGGGAATAATACTTGCAGGTTCCTCGACTTTGTGCTGAGAGCCTTACTATTCGTGACAGGGTTGAATACTTGCAGGTTCCTCGGCTTTGTGCTGAGAGCCTTATTGTTCGTGACGGGGTTGATTACTTGAAGGTTCCTTGGCTTTGTGCTCAGGGCTTTACTGTTCGTGACGGGGTTGTATGGTTTTGGAGAACCTACATATTTTGTTCGTGACGGATGGGGAAATTACTATGGTTTTTGAATAAAAAAATATGTTTTAAAAGATCGATATCTTTTCACTGGTTTTGAGGGAACACACTAGATAACCTATTCTGATCTCCTGAACTTAGTCATCCGAAATATTTCTCTGAAATGAAAGCTCATTGTCCGTTACCCTGAAATATCTGTAGGATCTTCGCTCAGCATAAAGATCTGTAAATGTCTGAACCGATAAGGAAATATATGTTTATTTGTATCTGCATGTTCTTCAGCATCATTTGGTAGTTCTGTATTACTGAGCTTTCCAAAGCTCACTCTATTACTCACCATTGCAGGTTAAAAGGATTAAACCAGTGCATCTATCGACATCAGTAAAGGAATTATTCCGGCTTTGTTTGCAGAATATGGTAAATGTAATTAGGGGGCATGTAATTATATTTTGTTTTATATACGAGTCTGAAAATCTATTTTATTTCTGAATACTGATAAATGATTTTATAAGTTTACGTTTTGATAAAAAAAAATTAAATTTTCCGCTATTTTTACAGTGGGTCGCTGCGGTGGCCCAAATATGACACTCCAGATCGAATCGGGTTACCCGTATCGGTCTGAGGGGGTTACACTCTACGTTTGTTGTTCTTTTCACCATTTTAATCGTTTTATCTTATGCTCCGCTTGGTTTGGCTCAATGTGAAGAATGGTCCAAGACTGGATATATGGCATGACAAGGAGCAATCCATGAAACTAAAAATCGTTGCCTTTATTTCGATCCTACTCCCTAGCATGATTGGTGTGAGTTTGCCATTCACATATGTTTAGTAATATCATGAGCACATTGAAACCTTTTTGAAGGTTTGCCAGTTGAGTATAAGCCATTTCTACCAGTGATAACTGCTAGCCGGAAACCCTTTACTATTGATGGTGTGGTTGCAGTTTTGGTTTGATCCCAGGACACAACAAATAAGGTTTAATCAGTTGAATGACTTATCTATGAGTGCTATTAATGTAGCACAAATTACAACAGGAAGTACTCAAGACAATTCAGGGTAACCAAGTTGGGCACTTAATCTAGAGGCAGCGGCGGAGGTGTCCACCCTAAAATTCGAATTTCTTTATGTTAGTTGTTATATAACTAATTTTTCGAGTCACAATCAATCGGTAACAGTGGAGGGCGTGTTTAAGTTTACATGGCTACTGCAAATAACAGTATCTACTATCTAGTCTTGTTGCTTTTGCAGAAGTATACTGGGGAAGTAGTATGGTATAGATGACAGTCTATCTGTCTCAGGGCACTGCTTGTATGTTGGATGTATACGGTCTTGTCTTTTGGTGTTTGAAGAAGCAGAAATTAATTTTCGGCTCAACCACTGAAGCATAATACCGTAGTATTAAAGATGTTGTGAAAGAAGTCAAGGCATGCACTCTATGCTTGGACACATCCAGGAGCTGTGCAAAAGAAGATGGAATGTAAAATTGTAGCATACCCCCAAGGACGAGCAACAAAATAGCCGACTGGTTAGCAAAGGAAGCAACTCAGTTGCGAATCTATTCCACTTTAGAGTTATTTACTATTAATTTGAAATATATGTGAATAGAAATTTTTAAATATTTATTATTTAAATTAAGATTATTTGTGTGGATACATATCCTTGTATCTAAATTTGATCTGAATTATAAAATAGAGAATATATCTAATTTTAGGATTCACATCTTATTAACTAGAATTTTAACATATTTCATACAGAGTTCAAGCATTGAAGAGATAGAAGGATAATGAAACATCAGATAGTTAGAATGGTATCGCCAATGCCTCACTTTCACATTCATAACAATAGTAATAGACGAAAGGTTCTCCCTAGAGAAGCTTCTAATGTTTGGGAAGTCACAAAAAAGTTGGGATTTAGTGTAAGAGTTGCAAACACGATGTTATCAATGAAATGATGAGGATGAAGGGTCTATAACGTTGAATATCAGAGGAGTTGTGGAACGGATTAACCTGAGTAGATTATCTTAATGATGCTGGTGATTGTGGTTGGATTATGTTGTGCATTTCGAACTGTGGGTGTGTTTTTGTCTTCGACGTAAGATGCTGTTTTTTCACAGTATACGGCTTAAAATTAACCGAAGTTTAACCCCAACCAACCAAAAAATCAACTAGGACCAATTTTAAACCCCAAAAATATGCAGGGTTCAAGATGCAAATTTAACCAACCACAAAAGTAAATGTACATAAGAAATAACTATGAAAAATGTATTATCTATAGGGAAAACAAGAAATTCAATATATATTATAAAGAGACAAATGTAGAAGAAACGGATACATCAAACAACAATTATAGGTAAAAGGTATATATAGACAGTAATATTTGTGTTACTGAATATGACACAAAGCAATGAAACAAGAATCAATACTCATCTTTTTATTCCGTTTGCTTCATGATAAAGAAAAATAAATATGGGTATGTGTTTTTGATTTCAGTTGTCTAGGTAATACTTGTTATACAAAGTATAGGTAACATTTTCATTTGACATTATGCCATAGTCTGCAGTTGTGGTAGACAACATGGAAGAAGAAAGCGGAGGAAGTGGCGGAGCCGGCGGTGTTGGTGTTTGTGGTGCAGCAATTGTAACAACCCCAGAAGAGAACAAGGCTAAATGGGAAGATTCCCGACACTTGTATTTCATTATCTCGGTCCTCACTGCATTGATCTCGGCTTGTAAAGAATGGACTTGCTGCTGCAGAGCTGCGATTGCACCCATGCAGCCGTAAACGGGGTCTCTCAGTCTCACGTTCGCCTCGTAAACGAGGCTGCTCGCGGCGTCGGCTCTTTGGCTCTCGCGTACTTCCTGAATTTCAACCCCATGAAACTGAATAAAAGAAAATAAAATCTCATGAATGCAGATTTAGAAGATGAAGAAGAAGAATAGTATACCATTAGCATCTTAGAGACGTTGCTAGCACCAAAGACTTTGTGAACAGAAGCAAACTTGTGGGGTTCATGTGGGGAGAAATACGGAGAAAATGGACATTCTTCAGCACATCTACGCCTCAAGAGTTTGCAGGCAGCACATGGTGTAATGGTATTTAGGGTTCCTGGAGGTCCCAGTATGTGTCTTCTTCCCATCTGATGACCAAATGAAACATCTGCTTCTCTCTTTATCTTCTTCCCTATCTCCTCTAATCTCTCCCTAAATATATTACACCGAAACAAAAAACAATAGCTAATTACTATATCTTATAAAAGATGGTTCAAACTATGCACGAGATGTGTATGCGTTGTTAATGACTAACTAAGATTATGAACAAATACTACTAAAAAAATATGGTCCAAAAGGAGAATTAAGTTGATGGGGTGTTACCTTTGTGTGGACATTCAGGCATGCATGTTCTCAAGCATGGAGAACAATTTACTCAGGCTGATAGAGAGGAGAAGAGAAGGAAGAAGAAGGGAATAAGAGAAGGGGGTGAAAGAGTGCTTAAAAGGCAAGATATACAGGAGACAGGTATGTGTATATGGTCTACAGTTTAGAATGGGATTAATAATACTATCGGCAAAATCGATTTATGTAACATTATTTATACATAAAAGTCGATTCTTGGAATTATAATTTGCCTACACACTAAATAATAATAATAATAATAAGAGGAGTGCTTTGAGAGGGAGCTTCAATGGAAGCAAAGTAGAGTGGGAGAAATTGAAGAGGTGATATATATATATATATATATATATATATATATATATATATATATATATATATATATGCCAGTTCTGTCTCTGCTTGCTCACGTGCCAATCCTTAAATGTGTTGACTTTTGGAAAATCAAGCTATTCAACTAGCTTAACCATGTGATGTACGTGTACACATTAATATGAGATAATATTTAACACAAGATTGACTTTAATTAACTAATCCTATTAAAACTGTCATTCATTAATTTATTCTAGTTAAAATTATCATTTTTAAATAAAAATACACATTTAATAATTGTGTCGTTTATATTTTAATTTAATTAATATTCTAAAAGAATATTGATGATAAATCATAGGGAAATGTGGTTCCTTAGGGTTATGGGCAGGCATGTTAGTTTCTTGTCAAAATCAAGAGTCCATCTCTACTTAAATTGATGTTTGGGATACATCAATTCCCTAATCGGAATATAAATTATGATCAAAACTGCCTTGTACTACCCGCAATTTGTTGTTTCAAGATGCCCAAGCGACCTTACATACAGACTTGGAAACACCAACACCACCCTCCTTATCAAGATGTTTAATCAATACTAATTTGAATTCAAAACTACTGTATACAAAATACATCTAGCTATAAATTCTATTCATCTACTTTAATTTATTATAATTTTCCATTTAATTAATATATTTATTTAAAATATTTTTTAATTATCGACAACACGCGTATTTTATCGATACAACCGTCCGAACTTAGATTCAATAACTGAAGTTGTTCAATGGGTTTAATAACCCAATAAAATGTAAGTACATGTTGTTAGTTTAGAAAATTTGAGAGTGTGATATGACTTGAAAGAAATGTTATATCAAAGTGGGTGGTGAAATGGAGAGGGATAAAATTGCTTAGATTTGAAGGGAAAATGCACTTATTTGACCCGTATTTTCAGGCTTACTAAACTAAAGTAATCTCACACACTCAACCTACCAGTATCTCAAATCCCAGAATTTGCCCAATTTCACTGTTGTCTCATGCAATCAAAGCAACTGATAGAACGCTGTAATATTTTTCAACTTCATATACCAAACAAACACTCGTAATACCTATATATATATGTATATATATAGGTCAAGGTGCATGCATCTTATCTGGAAAATTAAAATGGAGAGGAACTTTGGCCCTATCAAGTTAGTCAAATCAGTAGATCACGAATGAACCCAACTTTGAATGTGCAGACTTTTACTTGCTGTCATTCATTCATTTGTGAGTTTGTTCATATATTTTGTTCAAAATGTTGTTTGTCGTATCTCGGTTTGTTTAAATTAAAGACCATGTTAAGAGAGATTTAATAGATTGATTTATTATGATTTCTTGTCAATAATTTAAAACTATTTTGTTAATGAACAAAATATTATGATTTAATGTGTATATATATATAGTGTTATTATTATATACAAAAGTAAAATATTAATATTATTTAGGTTAAAGGAATATTTCTGTCTTTTAGTGGTACTAAATAATAAATTAATTAGTTACTTTAAATGGAATAAAAAATATAAAAGCATCTATGTTTCCATGGTGGGTGTATACGTATTATCAATTGTAAAATATGCAAATAGACTTCTAAGTATAATATATTTTTTATAGTCCGCCAACTACGAAAAGTTATAAATGTTTATCTACCTCAAAAAACTAATAACTTGTTCCGTTGCAATTAAAATTTTAACGTCAAATGATATAGTAGTTAATAAAATTGACATAATAACATATTTAATCTTTAATTTCTATAATTTATTTTAGTTTACACTACAGCAAAATAGGATTTTAGCGGTGTATTTAGTGCCGCTAAAACAATTATGTCAAAAAAACGTCGCCAAATGCGCCGCTGAAATCAACGCTGCAAAAGGTGGAGACATTTTTAATCTAAAACGCCGCTAATGGTTATGATTTGTCGCGACGTTTCTTCCATAAATGCCGCTAAAGATTATAACTTTTAGCGGCGTTGTTAAGAAACGCCGCTATATATATTTTCCTTTTGTGCGTTTGTACAAAACTGCCGCTAAATGTTGTGACATATAGATGCCTTTGTTAAAAAAAATGACGGTAAAAGTCATGACACATAGCGGTGTTTTTATAGTAAAACGCCGCTATTGACAATTCTATAGTGGCTTTTTTGTATAAACGTCGCAAATTATCTAAAACTTTAGTGGCGTTTTTATAGTAAAACACCGCTATTGACAATTATATAATGGTTTTT